TTGGGTGCTGACTGCCACACCCAATAGTTTGTGTTAATAAAACTGTCAACTTTGTTGATTCCGAAGTACTCCGTATAAAATATTTCCTTTGTCCTCAATTGTTCACTCTCAAGTCATATATCACTTAGTTAAACTTTTATGTATGAGATTAATGAGATAGAAATTAATACAAATAGAGTCTAAAACAATTCTTTGGAGAATAAAATTATGATCCCGTATATACATTTATGTGATGGGGAAAGTTAAATTCACCAACAACCCATACATAAACTCTAACTTCTCATGTACTCATAGAGCCACCAGACACCTATACAATTATTACAATGGATATAGGATGACTTATTTCTATAACTTTTACCTTAACACCTAAATATCTAGTTTTAAAATCCACGCACATGGATAAATTTTTTATTTCTGACTTATTTAATACTTTCTCCATTTTTTTTAGTTGACATGTTTCTTTAGTCACGTTTGTCAATGTACAACTTCATTCGTTAATATCTTTAATTATTAAAAACCAAAAATTATAAAAAGTTGATATTTAGAAATCCCACGACGAATCTAACAAGACCCCACATGATTATATTTTTCATTAAATATAAATCACAAATCACGGTCAATGAGAGATGTGTGAATAGTACTAAAGTAAAAAAGTGTCAACTAAAAAAAAAAAAAAAGGTAATATACAATGTGGGCATGTGGCACATGTATAAATTTTTCGTACCTAAAGTTGGATTTGTCTTGATGTTATATTTTTCAGATTTTGATATTCCCTCTCTTGAAAATTAAGTCGTACGTGTACCAATTTTTCTGATATACTTGTTAATACACAAGTCTGACCATAAACAAGTTTAACCATAAAATTATAATTTATATTATTAATAAATGTAGCGATGTAAGAATATTATATCAGATAGATTGTGTAAATACAGTATAGCCTTGGAAGTCTTGTAGTGATGTAACGAACATTGTATTACTTTGAGTTCTAACTTAAGAAAAAAGAGATAGATTGAGTAAAAAAATCAAGTGAGATTATATTGTGTATATTACTTCATTATTGATTGCTGTACTCATATTTAAGGAAATATATTATATGAAATACTTAATTATTTTAACAATGTTAATAGATTGTTCACTTTGTTGATTTTAGAGTATTGAACATTTCCTTTGTCCTCAATTGTTGACTCTCAAGTATAGTGGTGATAAAGATGAGTCTGGTCCGGCTCGACTTAATTTTTGTGCGGGTTTACTACATAGAAGTTCATCCCGAAGTCAAGTCCAGTCCAAAGTGATTATCGTTTTGGGTGGGCCATGGGTGAACAACATTAAGATTTTTAGGTAATTTTTAGGCTCGGTCAAATAAAGCTCGCTACTACGCTAGGCCCGATCCAATTATACAATATTTGGGAAAACCATTTTGCAATTAGTATTCACAAATGTTCAAAAAAATCGGATGTACAATAATGCTATTGTAAATCAATAGCAGTGAGCCTCTTCATTACTTTCTTTTATTAGTTTCTTTCTATCTCTCCTCACTTATTTTTCACTCACTACAGACGCCACCACTGCCGCCACCGCCGCCATCAGCTTGAGCCTCTCTCTCTCTCCTCACTTATATTTCACCCACTACGGGAGCTTGAGCCTCGTCAACAGTGATCTGACGGTTGTTGAGTGTTTGGTCGTTCATTCCTTCGATCGCGGCATCAAGGTCTTCGTTCCTTGCTTCCAAAGGTATTGATGGTGACGATGCTTGTATGGTAATTAGAAGCATTAACAGAGTTTTTTTGTGTTAAAAAAGGTCACTTTTGTGGAAAAAAAGGGGTCACTTATGTGAAAAAAGGGGTCACTTTTGTAAAAAAAAAAAAAAAAAAGAGTCACTATTGTGAAAATATGGGTCACTTTTGTAAAAAAAAAAGGTCACTTTTGTAAAAAAAAAAAGGTCACTTTTATAAAGAAAAAGGGTCACTTTTCGCAAAAATGTTCGATGTACAATAAAATTATTGTAAACCGGGGGCATGCAAAAGTTTTTGCTTAGTATTATGTGCACCACGATGTACTTAGAAATATGTGCACTACGTTTATACTTTTAAACATTTAGTTAAAAAAAATTGAACATTTAACAAAAAATGAACATTTAGTAAAAAACTGAACAATTTTTATTTTCATATTTTATAAAGAAATGTTCATTTTGTATCAGTAAATGCTCAATTTATATTACAAAATTATTGAATTATTACGAATTTCTGACTCGTAATAATTCAAAAATTGCGATTGTCACATTTTTTACTTAATGTTCAAGATTTGTTATTGTTCATATTTTTTTACTAAATGTTCGAAAGTATAGGGGTGGTGCATTGCAATTGTTCAGATTTTTTAACTAAATGTTTAAAATTTTCGATGTTCAAATTTTTTAACTAAATGTTCAAAATTCGCGATTATTCAGATTTATTTACTAAATGTTCAAAAGTATAGGCGTGATGCACTGTAATTGTTCAGTTTTTAAACTAAATGTTCAAAATTTGCGATGTTTAGATGTTTTTACTCTATGTTCAAAATTTGCAATTATTCACATTTTAAATATTCAAAAAAATATAGGCGTGGTGCACCTAGATACCATGATGCATTTTAAAATTTGCCATAGTTTTGAGCTGAACATGCCCTACATAGTGGGCTTATTTTTTCTCCTTAAATCCAGCCTGGCTCACCCAATTATATTTTACTTTATTAAATTTTGATCAAGTGAAATTTAACAAGATAAATTAATATTAGTGAACATAAAATAATTTCGTTTTTATTGATTGCAAAATTATGATCTCTTATTAACATCAGCCACATACGAAACTATGTGAAGATGAGCGCGTTTTTAGTGCCCCCAACCACACCGTGCGGCATAACGGGAAACACCAAAATAACAGAGTTAACAAACTTTCCAAAAAATGCGGAGCCCAAACTCCCAAAAAGCGCGCAGCCCAAAATTTTTATTAAAGTCTGACACATTTCACAAACCTACAAACACGCCGCAATTTCTCAACTCACTCATCCAGAATTTCTCACATCACTCATTCCAGAATTTCTAGCTCCACTCATTCCAGATTGATTAATTATTTCAAAATTTTTTGTACTATGGCAGACGAAGAACAACTTTTTCCAGATTCACAAGAATCAATGGAAATAGAAGAAATTGGAGATTCATTGATGAATCTAGAGATCGAAAACAAAATTAGAGAAATCAAAGAACACTTATTACAAAACATAGAATACCAAGGTAAATACATTCAAATATTCATATTAAATTTTCTGCTATGAAAGATCTAGAAACACCTAATCTTGAAAAACATTAGAAAGTAACCCCAAGTAACCGCTAATAATCTTTTAAGTAACCCTTTAAGTAAACCCTAGTAACCCTTTAAGTAGCCACTAGAACCCCAAATAACCCCTAGAAGCCCAAAATAACCCCTAATAACCTTTTAAGTAACCCTTTAAGTAAACCCATTAAATTATTCCCCATTAACGTAACCCCTCTAGTAACCCCTCTAGTAAGCCACTAACTAATACCTCTGTGACCTCATTAATGTAACCCCCTCAGTAACCCCATAATAACCCCTTTAGTAACCTCCTCAGTAACCCGCCCAGTAACCACATTAAAGTAACCCATTCTAGTAACCCTTCTAGTAACCCCATTAGAGTAACCATTTTAAAGTAACCCCTTCTAGTAACCCCCTTAGTAATCAATGTAATAACCCCTATAGTAACCCCACAGTAATTAATGTAGTAAACCCCTCTAGTAATCCCCTATGTAACCCCTCTAGTAACCCCCTCAGTAAACCATCCAGTAACCCCATTACTGTAACCCCTCTAGTAACCCCTTCAGTACCCCCTTCAGTAACCCCATTAAAGTAACATTTCAAAGTAACCCCTCTAGTAACCCCTTCAGTAACCCCTCCTGTAACCCCATTAAAGTAATCGTTTCAAAGTAACCCCTCTAATAACCCCTCAGTAAAGTACTAGTAACCCCTCTCAGTAAACCATCCAGTAACCCCATTAAAGTTACCCCTGTAGTAACCCCTGTATTAACCCCTTCAATAACCCCTCCTGTAACCCCATAAAAATAACCATTTTACAGTAACCCCTCTAGTAACCGCTAAGTAACCCCTCTAGTAACCGCTGAGTAACCCCTCTAGTAACCCCCTCTAGTAACACCATTAAAGTAACTTCTTCTAGTAACCATAAAAGTAACCTCTTCTAATTCTTGATACATAAACTGCGGAAACAAATGATAACACAGCAGAAACAAGTGACAACACAACAGAGAAGGTTTCAAGCACATTAACAGAAGAAAGCAATAACGATAACATGCAAACACAACAAAGTAAAGGTCAACAACAAGAAGATTTTGATTTTACAGGAAGCTTAATAGGATATACTGCAGAAACTTTGGATGAAATCCATGAAAAATATAAGAAGCATGCATTTGTTTTGGGTTTTGGAGTAAGACAATCAACCACAAGATGGACTCTAGGAGAAAACAAACAAATTAAGGGAAAAGATTTTGTTTGTTCTAAAGAAGGCTTTAGATGCAAACCCAAAGTTCAAAAAACTCCTCCTCCAGTAAATGAAAACAGGAAAAAAACAAGACAAGTTCCTTTAACAAGAACAGGATGCAAAGCATTTATTAGAGCAAAAAAGAACAAGGAAGGGAAGTTTGAAATTGAGGAACATGTGATTAATCACAATCATGACTTAACTAGAAAAGCATGGCAACATCTACATAGGTCAGAAAGAAAGATCACTGAAGACAAAGCAAAAGTAATTGATTTCATGGCAGAGAGTGGATTAAAGCCTACTGAAGCTTACAATCTAATGACTAAAGGGATGCACAAACAGTTATAGACAGTCTATATCAAATACAGGCAAAAGAAGAAGACTTTTTTTTCAGATTCAAACTTGGAGGTGATGAAAACACCAACAAGTTAACAGGCATCTTCTGGAGAGACTCAGAAATGAAGGAAGACTTCAACATTTATGGTGATGTAATCATTTTTGACACAACATATAGAACTAACAAATACAATCTCATTTGTGCCCCTATTGTAGGAATCAACAATCATTGGCAAACTGTGATGTTTGGTTGTGCATTTATTGCTGATGAGAAGATTGCTACATTTGAGTGGGTTTTGTCAACTTTTAAGAAGTCTATGGTAGGAAGTCAGCCCGCCACAATATTCACAAATCAAGACTTGGCAATGGAAAAAGCAATTGAAAAGGTAACCACTACAGTAATTTTTTGTAATCCCCTACATAACTATCTCCCCAAATAAACCTTAATATTTAACCCCTGAAAGCATATAAAATTAATTAAGTAACCCCACTAAGTATTTTAAGAAACCTCATTCATTATTTAACCCAATCAACCCATATAAAATTATTTAACTAACCCCATTAATTATTTAAGTAATCCCATAAAGCAACAATTAACACCTAGAAGCCCTAAGTAACCCCAAGTCACCCCTAGAAACCCCAAGTAACCTCTGAGAATTTGTAAAATGACTTGACTATCATAAAAAAATCCCCTGAGCAGCTATAAAATAAATAACCCCATTAATTAAAATTAGTATCCCCAAGTAACCCCATGAAATAACAAGTAACCCCAAGTAATTCCTAATAACCCCTAAAAGAAACATAAAACTTCAAGTGACCCCTAAAAGCCCTAATTAATTCCTAGAAGTAATAAAGATAACATATAATTGCATTAGTATAAATAAGTAACCACTGAGCACATGTAAAATGACTATAGAATCATAACTAACCCTAAGTAACCCCTAGAAATAACAAGTAACCCCTACAAATTAGCAACAATTAAGTAACCCCAAGTAACCCCTAAAAGCCCCAAGTAACCCAAAGTAACCACTGAGCACCTGTAAAATGACTTTAGTATCATAAGTAACCAATTAATTAAAATAAGTAACCCCTAGAAATAACAAGTAACCCCTAGAAATAACAAGTAACCCCAACCCCTAAAATCAGCAACAAGTGAACCCCAATATCACAAAGTAACCCCAAGTATCCCCTAAAAACCCCAAATAATGCCAGATAACCCCTAAAAGAAACAAAAAACTTCAAGTGACCCCTAAAAGCCCTAATTAATTCCTAGAAGTAATAAAAGATAAAATATAATTGCATTAGTTAAATAAGTAACCCCTGAGCACATGTAAAATGTCTATAGAAACATAAGTAACCATAAGTAACCCCTAGAAATAACAAGTAACCCCTACAACTAAAATTAGCAACAATTAAGTAACCCCAAGTAGCCCCTAGAAGCCCCAAGTAACCCCAAATAACCTTTGAGCACCTGTAAAATGACTTAAGTATCATAAGTAACCAATTAATTAACACAAATAACCCCAAGTAACCCTAGAAATAACAAGTAACCCTAACCCCTAAATTCAGTAACAAGTGGACTTTAGAAGACCAAAGTAACCCCTAAAAACCCCAAATAATTCCTAGAATTAATAAGAGATAACATATAATAACAATAATAAAAATAAGTAGACCCTATAACAATCCATAAAACTTAAACTCTTTATGTATCCTATATAAAAATCTTTAATAATTTGCTTCAATTGTGAACTTATAGGTATTTTCTCACTCAAGGCATAGGTTGTGTATTTGGCATCTAATTAAAAATGTTGTTTCAAGATTTGGAGCATGAAAACGAAACACAGCTTTCAAAGATGCATTCAATAAATGTCTAAGTGGTTGCGTAACTGAAGAAGAATTTCAAGCTTGTTGGGATAACATGATAACAACCTATAAACTTGAAAAAAATATCTGGTTCAAAAGGTTATATAACCTTAGGGAAAAGTGGTGCACAGCTCTGAGTAAAGACTTTTTTTCTGCTAGTATTTTGTCATCTCAGAGAAGTGAGAGTACTAATAATGCTGTTGGGTTTAAAGCAAACAAGAACACAAGTCTTTCAGATTTTTTCAGAATATTCAAGCAAACTGTGAAGAGATGGAGAAAAAAAGAATCTGATACAGATTTCCAGTGTTCAAACTCTGAACCAACATCAAATTTCCCCATGTATGGACTATTAAAGCATGCATCAGAAACATACACACAAACAATATTTAGATATTTTGAGTCAGAATTCAGCTATTCAATGGGATGCATAGCACATCTGCATGGTCAATTGGGAGATCATTACTTTTATGAGGTGCAAATTGAAGATGATATATCATCTAGGAAAAAGGTCACATATGTCAGTTCAGAAAACAGAGTTGCATGCTCATGCAAAAATTTTGAAGAAGTAGGTTGGCTTTGTTATCATTGTATACGAATCTTACACCAGCATTCAGTTACAAAAATTCTAGAACATTACATCTTAGCAAGATGGACAAAGCTAGCTAAATCTAATGTATGGAAAAAAAAAGATGATCATGAAGCAGAAAATTCAACAGGAATACAAAAATTCAAGCCTTGGCGTCACACAATGGCAAGAAAGTCCTACAATCTTATACTGAAATATCAACATCACAAAGAAACACGGAGCTTCATTGAGTTACAACTAAAGAAAATTGATAAAGAAGCAGATCTAATAAAAAGACAGCTAGAACTGCAAGATGCAGAAAAAGAAGAAGATGAACAATCTGTTGAAATCACAAAAGAACAACAAAATCAAGAACAAATACCAAGAGTAAATGATCCAGATCGAGCAAACACAAAAGGAAGAAGCAAAAGAATCAAGGGACATTTTGAAAAAGAAAAACAACCAAAAGCAAAGAAAACAAAAGCAATGCAAACCAAAGCTGACACAAGGGAATTTGGGACAATAACACCAGTTATAAATCCAAAGTTATTTTAGTTTCGTAATGTTTTTAATTTACAAAAATTACAGTTTATGAATAATGTAAACAAATATTTATTAATTTATTGTTTACTTTGACATTTATCATGTACTTTGACTATTGCTTTCAATTGTTATAACTTGTATCTAATAGTGTGTATCACACAAACCAATACAAAACACCGTTAATTCAAAATAGAACCAAGTAACCCCATCAAGAACCAAGTAACCCCAAGTAACTCCAACAAGAACAAAGCAACCCCTACAAACACCAAGTAACCCCTAAAAAAAATATATAACCCCAAGTAACTCCTAGTAACCCCAAGTAACTCCTAGTAACCCCAAAAACATCAAGTAATCTCTAGGAGACCAAAGTAACAATCTGTTGAAAGTAATACCAAAAAGCAGAAAGTAAGCCCTATAAGAACAAAGTAACCACTACAAGAGGAAAGTAACCTTTACTACAAGCACAAAAAAACCACAAGTAACCCCAAGCACAGAGTAACCCTAAGTAACCCTAAAAAGCACCAAGTAACCCAAGTAACCCTTAAACTTCCATAGACACAAAAGAAGGAATAAACCCTAATATATAGAACAAATTTTAAACAAATTATACTTAAACAAGAGATATAAAATAAAATATTAACAAATTATACGAATAAAGAAAAAATAATGTTTAATCAGATCTAAAATCCTAAAAAAAAATTACTAAAATTTACTTCTTACTGTAATTTTCAATTTGTCTTCTTAACTGCTGGTGGTGTACTCTTAGGTGCTGAAGCTTTACTGTTACGTGCATGTACTTTACTGTTAGCCACTGCTACAGCTTTGGATTTGGATGTCGGGGCTGGTTCTACTGCTGATGCTGGTGCTGTTTCTGCTGCTGACATATTTCGAGTTGATCTTTTTCCTGCAGCTGCCTCTTCTGCTGGTGCCTCTTTTGCTTGGTTTTCAACAGTTGCTGAAGATGAATTAGCTAACTTTCTTTTTGCGAAATCCTCTTCCGCAGCTATTGTAGCAGCCACCAACGCAGCTTCTTCTTTTTCAACTTTAGCTTTCCGTCTTCTTTCATAATCAGCACGTTGCTCTACCTTATAAGCCTCAATTTCAGCCTCTTTAATGAGCTTCTCATTTTGTAAGACTTCAGCCATAATCATTTCATGATTTTTGACATATTGATCAGCACGGGACAAGACAAATTTTCTTTCATTATTCAAATCAGACAACACCAATGAAGCACAAATTTCAGCCCGATAACGACGGCGTTGAATAACCTACATAACAATATAAAGAAATTTAAATCAACAACTAAAAAACAAAAAAACAGCAATGTAAAGACTATAAGAGACAAAGAAATAATTAAAGTAACCCCAGAATATCTACTTTAGTAACCCCTCCAGTAACGACTCTAGTAACCCTCTGAAATAACTCATCTAGTAACCTCCTAAGTAAACCCGTTAATTTAAGTACCCACCTTAGTAACCCTAAAGTAAATACAAAAACTTTGGATTTAACAATATTAAAACATAAAAGCATTTAAAAGAAATACCTGATTTAAACAATAACTTCTAAATGTTTTCCCAAAATATGAAGCACAGTGATATAGACAAAATACTCCGCAGTCCACATTTTGACCCACTTTTTGTCCATCCAATTTGATCATCTGAATTGGGAAACCCACCACATCCACTCCATCTTCACGGCCTTTGATTGTCATGTATCTTGACATAAGATATCTCTAACAAACACAAACAGAGTTAGGGTGGTTACTAACATATTCCTTTAAAAAAAACACTAACACAAAAATGTAACCCCTTAAGTAACCACAATAGAAACAAAAAAATACAAAAATATATTAAAAACCTTACCAAACGATATGTGATACTATAATATACAGAATGCAATCCATCAAACTTTGTTGTATACTTCTTTAAATTCTCGTCATAGATCGAATACTTTCTGTTGTCAAGATAATCAATGGTATTGTCTAAAAAGTTCACCACAACAACAGCATAGTGATTATCATACCAGATTGGCATAAAAACCTGCATAAACAACATCATTTTGTACAAAATTGTCATACCAAATTAACTAACTTCATATAGAAGAAAATTTGACAAAAGATCAGTTTTGTACCAGCTTTGCAGTCAAAATATCAGTACATTTAACATTCAAAAACCAAGTGTCCCATGCCCCATATACATCTCTCTCATATACACAACCATCACCAGCAAAAAGACACTGCAGAACAGGCCACTACATGAAACAAACAAGCATAAATAAGTAAGATTCTATAATTTCTGTTACAGAATTAAAATTAAACATTTCAAACTTACCATATGGTCATCACCAATGAAAACTCTATTATAAGTGAAACCTGTCAAGACCTCCTCAAGATTAAGAAGAATATAAAAACAGTCCATCACACGACTTGATATTAACTGCCCTGGGATCAATGTACTAAATTCTTCACGATTCAACTGATATACCTCAGAATAATGGAATATAGTCTCCCTGTTATAAAATAACACAAACAAAATTATTAGTACACCTACAAATAACAATTTACACAAAAACACTTTAATAGAATAAGTAACCCCTAGAAGTAACATATAATAACCTCCAATGTAACCCCTATCCTTATACCCCAAAGTAACCCCTGCTCCTGTAAAATTAATAAAGTAACCCCATTAAGGACACTGGGTAACCCTAGTATAAAAGAACCACTTAAATAACCCCTAAGTGAACCCTTAGTAACACCTTCAGTAACCCCTCAATACCTCAGTAATCCTCTTAGTAACCCCTTAAGTAACCCAAATAACCCCTCAGTGAACCCTCAGTAACCCCTTCAGTAACCCCTCAATACCTCGGTAATCCTCTTAGTAACCCCTTAAGTAACCCCTTAGTATCAACTTAAGTAACCCCTTAATCCTCAGTAACCACATTAAAGTAACCCCTCAATATTCATTAACCACATTAAAGTAACCCCTATAGTAGACCCTCAATAACCAATTAAATAACCCAAAAAAACCACAAGTAACCCCTAAAACCAACAAGTTAAACCACAAGTAACCCCTAAAACCAACAGGTTACCCATAAATGCACCAAATAACCTCTAAAAGCAACAAGAAATCCCAAGTAACACCTAGAAATCCCAATTATTCATCTAGAAATCCCAAGTATTTCCTTTTTGCAACAACTAACACCTAGAAGTTTAAAGAAACCCTAAAAATCCAAAGAAACCCCTAAATGCAACATGAAACACCTAAAACCCATAAGTAACCCCTAAAAGTAACATATAATAACCTCCACTGTAACCCTTATCCTTATACCTCTAAAGTAACCCCTGCTCCTGTATAATTAATTGAGTAACCCCATCATGGACACTAGGTAACACCAGTATTAAATACTATACATACATGTAATCCCAAGTAACCCCAAGTAACCCTTACTAGCCCCAAATAACCTCTAAAACAAACAAGTAACCCCAATTAACCCCAACAGATCCCAAGTACAGTTTTAATACAATAAGTAACCCCTAAAATTCCAAAGTAATCCCTAAAAATCCAAAGAAACCACTCAATGCAACAAGTAATCCAAAGTAACCCCAAAAACCATAAGTAACCCCAAAAACACAAGTAACCCATAAAACAAAAAAGTAACCCCTAGATGCCCCAAAAAATCTATAAAAGCAACAATTACCCAAAGTAAACTCTAGAAATCCCAAGTATTTCCTTTATGCAACAAGTAAACACTAAAAGTTTAAAGTTAAATACTTACGAATCATCAACACCGGAATAATTCTCAACAAAACAATAATCAGCAACCTCAAGCCTCAACTCCTTCATCGCGTAGAGTTTCTTCCTGTTGTTTCTAACTCTTAAAGATCCTGATGTCAGCTGTAAAGTATAACCACCAGATTGACCACAGTAAATACTACAGCTTAATAGACCAGATGTATCTTTAAAAGTAGAACCACTACTATCAGAATTTTCGTCTGGAATATGAGAATTATGAGCATCCTCACCGTCAGGATCTACATCTTTCATCTTTTCCTTCAAAATTTTTAAAGCTTCTTCATCAGTGTGACCAGGAAGAGAACACCACAATATTTCCTTCTTCTTTCTAGGATTACTAGAACTGCTTGATCCAGATTTTTTTTTATTTTTCTGCTTTTGAGTTGCAGAAACTTTCCCCTTTGAACCAGAACTCTAAACAGAATTAGATGCACCAACTGGTGCAGAAGAAGCAGCACCACCAATGGAAGATGACAAAGCAGAATGCAGAACAGGAAGAGGTGCAGATACAACAGTAGAAATAGGCTCAACATCATGAAGTATTTCATTTTCTCTTATTGATTTCTTGTTGAGAAATTCAGATTCATCAATAAGGATCACTTCCTGTACCTCACACAAAGAACCACCCACAACAGGTTCTTCCATATTCTGATTGGCAGCTTGAGAATCACCAATGTTGTCATTTTCATCAATCTCAAATTCTCTATCTTGTTGCTCTTCAAACTGAGATAGTTGAATTGTTAAATCATCAATGTTGTCCTTCTCAGTGACAGATTCACCAACATCTGCCCTTTCATCAGAAAAAAGGAACCTGCATTCCGTTTGAAGGTTTCAAACAACCAGCTTCAGAAATTAAACCACTAGTAGTAGGTTCACTAGCAGCTTCTTCCATTTGTATATCTTTAAGACTCAAATCCTACGTAGTCTCAGTCACAGCTTCTTCACCTTGGTATGTATCAAAAACTCCAATTTCATTATCATTAATCAACCTTACCACATCATTCACAACAGGATTTGAAAATTCCACCATATTGGGATCAATATTTGGTGGAGTTTGCTCAGAAACTTGAGCAAAAATTTCTTTGCTAACTTCATCCTCTCTTTGAACATTTGGTATTTCAATAGGAGTCGAAAAATCTGGATTTGAGTACGAAAACAGATCAAACGAAGGCATATCTTCTTCTTTATTCTTCTTTTTCATACTTTTTTCAGCATTCAGCTCTGGATTTGAAACAGAAAACAGCTCAAAAGAAGGCATATCAGCTTCCAATTGCTTCATTTTCAAACTTTGATCAACAATCTTATCAATTTGTTCCCAAAATGACAAATCATTGAATATTGGATCCAACTAAGAGAGCTCAGGAGATCTCTTCTTCGAAGGAAGCTTCGAATCTTCTTGAACAGCTACTGATTGCTGCTTAATTGATTCAATGTGTTGTTCACATTGATACACAATTAACTTCAAATCTCTCTTCATTAGTAAATACTTCTCCTCAACATCCTAAAATAATTCAAAAATAACACATAAATGAATAACCATAGAGCAAATCTAAAACTACAAATTAAGTAACACTTCAAATAATCCCTTTAAGTAAACCATAATGTAACTCCCTCAAGTAACCCATCATGTAACCCTTCAAGTAATAAAACCAACAGTAATTAGATAACACAAATAAAGAAATAAGTAACCCCTCTAGTAACCCAACAAGTAATAAACACTTATTATCCCCATCCAACAAGTAACCTAATTAAAAATTACAAGAAGTAACCTTCATGAAATATGTAACTAACATGTAACCCCAAAATAAAATAAAAGAATTAAAAGTAACATAGACTACAAAGAAAATAAGTAATTGAAAATGTGATACATAACCCCCATAGTAACCCCTTAAGTAACCCCACAAATTAAGTAACCCTTCAAAGAATCCCTCAAATAAACCATTATGTAACCCCTTAAGTAACCCCATATTATCCCCTTAAGTAACCCCTCAGTATCCACTTAAAAAAACTCCTTAGCAACCCCTTAAGTAAACCCTCATTAACAACCCCTTAGTAACCCATTAATTAACCACTCAGTACTTACATTCTTTGCAACTTTATTGATTTCTTCATTTGATTAAATTTCATTTGGGAGATCAAATGTAACAACCCGAGAAGAAAATGGAGAAGGATTTGCATCCTGACTCTTCTCCTGCTTCTCACCATACGCAACCATATCATATGAAGATGGTTTTACATTTGCACTTTTTAGATGTTGTACCACTTCTACAGCATCACTTTCTTTCTCTCCCTTTTTCTTTTGATGCTGCACCAACTCTGTAGCATCCCTATACAAATAAATTTTTAAAAAATAAACATCAGAATCCATATTATTATAAAGAAAACATAAATGAAAAACACAAATCACTGTAAAGCATAAAAAGTAACACCTTAAGTAACACTTAAAATGTTACCTCTAGTGATTCTTTAAGTAACCTCAAATGAAATACCTTAGAAACAATACAACATTACATTAGTAACTCCTTATGTAACCCCACATAAATCCCTAAAATGAACATCAGAAATATGAAATCCTTAAATAACTCTGTATATAACAACAAATGTAATCCTGTTATAACATCAAAATACTAAAACATATCAAGTAACCCCTTATGTAACCCCTTCAATTACCTCAAATGAAATAAATTAACAACAATACAACATTACATAAGTAACCCCATATGTAACCCCACATGAAACCCCTGAAATCAACTTCAAAACCATATACCAAAATACTTAAGTAACCCCATATGTAATCTCACATGAAACATCTGAAATCAACTTCAAAATAACAAGCAAAATAAATTACTATAAAATTTATCTTACCCTTGTGAAGAAATCTTCTTATGTTCCTTATTTCCTTCTTCATCTTCATCTTTCTCTTCCTCTTCCTGTTTATCCTCATCTTCATCCTCAAAAACAGGAAGCTCAGGCAAAGAATCAATTGAAGTTATTGGATATGTATCTTTATCCAATTCACCAACACCATAAACTCCACTCTCATTAGCCAACCTTTGCCTAACTTCTTGATTACCCCAATGTTTAATCAATGGAATAGATGTAGGACAAGCTGCCCCTCTGAATGGAGCCGATGAAAATAACAAATTTGAAGCAACAAGACACACCCAACAATATAATTTTGCTTTGGCTTATATCCACTTAACTTATCAGCCAAATCATCCAACACATATTGACACCAATTATATTGCCTAATCATAGACACATCTTCAAAAGCTAAAACAAGCTTTAAATCAGCCAATCTGTTTGTAGTGGGTGTCAGCAAAGTAATCATTGCATACATCACAAAACACTTCTTAAATTCAGCATTCCCTGACTGCATACCTACATCTGATTTCAAAAATCCCTCCAACTGACTCACAGTAACTGTCTTTCCATTACCATATGTGTTCCTCCAAGCAACCTTCAAATCATTATCTCCTCGAGCAGAGACTGGAACAGGAACAGATCCCATAGGAATACCAAAGACATCATGCACATCAGCAGCAGTCAACTAAAACTTCTCACCACTGGGCATAACAAACATTCTACTGCTAGGCACAAAGCATTTACACAACCAACGTATCATTTCCCTTGGAAATTCAGTCATCTTAATGGAAAACAGACTACCAAAACCAATATCATAACAGCTCGGGTTTGTTCTTTATTTTTCACTATCAAATTCATCAACTCAACAATGCCCGAAGGTCTACATCGAGCAATAACATCAGAATCCCTATATTAAAAAAAAAAAAAAGAAAAAATCAATTAAAAACACACATCACAGTAAAGCATAACAAAAAACCCCTAAAGTAACCGCATATGTAACCTTATAAACAATATAACATAGTAAAACATATCAAGTAACCCCATTATATAACCCCTAGTAACCCCATAAGTAACCTCAACTGTAATCACTAGTAACCACATAAGTAACCCCATATGTAACCCTTGAAGTTTATATGAAAAATAGGAACTAAAGCTAAAAATTAAAAATTGGCACATGATTGTGACCAAACTAAGACACAATACAGAACAAATTTCCAGGAAAATTATGTTACCCTTTTTCAACGTCTACAACTTCAACAACTTTAGCATCTGGTGTTATTTTTCCTGTAGAAGATTTCCGAGTTTTAATAGGTTTTAAATCAACAGATTCATAGACAGTTGTTGATGTTTTTGCTCTTCGAACCTTCGGCTTTACATCTACATCTTCTTCTTTCACCAAATTCCTGCCACGCTTCTTAGCAGCTGGCTTTACCTCAAGATCTTCATCACTACCCTTCATTGGAGGAGCAGCTAGATTTTCATCAACATCTTCAGCAATACTCTCATCCTCTTTATATTCAGCTACATCAACATCCTTCTGGTCATTAGAATTTACAGCCTTCACATCTTCACTGTTCACACTGACACCAGCATCAACACCACCAGTATCTTCACCAGCATGAGGAAGAACATCGGCATCACCAATACCACCAGCATCATTTACTACACCTACACAAGAAACAAATCAAAATAAGTCAAGAGTACAAGTGACAATTATAATTTTAATCAACAGGATTTAAAGAAATTAGTTGAGTAACCCCTTGTGTATAACACTCAATAATAATCCAATTAAAATATCCCCTTAAGTAATCTATAAAGTAACCCATTATATAACCCCCTCATAAACCAATAGAAGTAACACCTTGTGTAACAAACTCAATAATAATCCAATAATAATACCAATTAAAGTAACCCCTTTAATAATCACATTAAGGTAACACCTTCAATACCCCAATCAGAAACCCCTCTAGTAACCACATTGAAGTAACCCCTATAGTAAACCATCAGTAACCCCTCAAGTAACCCCTCAGTAACCAATTAAGTAACCCCAAATTTAAGTTACTCCTGAAGTAACACCGCAGAATCACTTAAATAACCCCTAAAAAACCCTCAATAACCCCTCAATAACCCCTCAATAATTTAAGTAACCCCTTTAGTAACCCCTTAGTATCAACTTAAGTATCCCCTCAATCTTCAGTAACCACATTGAAGTAAGTACATTGAAGTAACCCCTATAGTAAACCCTCAGTAACCCCCTAAGTAACCTCTTAGTAACCAATTAAGTAACCCAAAATTAAAGTAGCTCCTGAATTGAACCCCCTAGAACCACTTAAATAACGCCTAAGTAAACCCTCAGTAACTACATTGAAGTAAACACATTGAAGTAACCCCTATAATAAACCCTCAGTAACCCCTCAAGTAACCACTCATTAACCAATTAAGTAACCCCAAATTAAAGTAACTCCTGAAGTAATCCCCTAGAACCACTTAAATAACCCCTAAGTAAACCCTCAGTAACCCCTCAATACCTTAGTAATCCTCTCAGTAACCCCTTAAGTAACCCCTAAATATGAACTTAAGTAACCCCTCACTACTCAGTAACAACTCATGTAACCCCTCACTAAGTAAACTCTTAAGTAACATCTTAGTGACTACTTAAGTAACCCCTCAGAAACCCCTGAATACCTCAGTAATTCTCTCAGTAATCCCTTAAGTAACCTCTTAGTAACAACTTAAGTAACCCCTAAATTCTCAATAACAACTCATGTAACCCCTAGTAACCCCTCACTAAGTAACCTCTCAGTACACCCTTAGTAACTCCTCTGTAACAATCTAACTAAATCATATCATGATAACTGTCACTACACAGAGTATTTTGCACATTTCAAAAAAAAAACAAGTCACAACATAGCGGAAACAGGTAACAAAATAACAAAAACAAGCAATTGAACAACATTAACTGCACAGAAAAGAGAAAAAAAAAAACAATAACTTATAAACATAACAAATACAACTGATAACATGCAAAGCAAAAATAATCATGAACACATATGAAAATTGATCATTAAATATTGATAACATACAAAGCAAAAATAATTATCAAGGTTGAAATGAAACCTAAAAAACAAATGAAATGAAATAAATCAAAACAAACTAAAGTAGATACAAAATTAAACAACCTAGGGTTTGAATAATGAAATTCGTAAATAGAAAACATAAAAAATTAAACGACCTAGGGTTTAAATAATGAAATTCAAAAAAATTACAAAATCAACAACTAATTCATGATTCGAAATGACAAAAAAAAATAATCGAAAACAATAACAAATCGAAAACGCAAATATAGAGTTATTATGAAACCTGATTCATCGCCATTTTTGATAGATGAAGATCCTGTAATTCAAAACGAAAAGAAATCAAAAACAAGTTACAAAATGTAATATAACAAAAAAAATAATTCAAAAACAGAAGAGAAATTAATAAACAAAAAATAAAGAAGCGAAATAACCTGAATCATCGCCATTATTATGCGAAGAAGATCGTTGAGTACTCTTACCGTAAACGATTTTCAATTTTCCCATTGATTTGTGAAGAATGAAATTGGAAAAATGTAGGAAAATTTAAAAAGGAAATTCAACAATGAAAGAGAAATTAAGAGAGAAGAAATGAAAGGAGACAAAGTTCAAACATGTCAGAGTGAAGTGAAAGAACACGAAAAGGCGGTTAATGAAACAAAAATAAATAAATAAATAAATATGTTAACGGAGTCCGTTATAACGGAACTTCATTAACAGCTTTGGGCCAGGCTTGTTTCGCTTTGGGCCTCATATTGTGGCTGGCCGCATGGTGTGGCCAGCCACATACGAAACTATGTGAAGTTTAAAAGACGCGTAGAATATATAAACTCATCCTCTCACGTACAGATAGAACCAACCACCCATAAAGGGCATACTGCATACACCTATACAATAGATGACTTCTTTCTAGAACTTTTATCTAAACACCTAAATCTCATCTCTAGTTTTAGAATCCACATGGATACCCTAGCCAGACTACATACAACATCATCAACGGATATTACAAGAATACTACAAATTTTGTAATCATCGTCAAAATCTAAGGATCTTAACAAATAATTAAAATTCCATAGTGTTTAAATGTGTGGATCGCAATTGATCTAATTTCCTAGGATTTCCTAGATCTTAACAAGTTTGTCATAAAATAAATTATAAGACCAAATAAAGTGCCGCCAATTTTCAGATCAAAGACCGTTGTCAAATTAGATGGACTATTTTATTTTACATGTTTGGTAGATCTTATTTTTATTTTATAAAAGGTTATTTATTTGACCACACATATTTATAAGATCAAAAATATGAAACGTAACTTTTGAAAAAAGTAAATTTCAAACAAAATACAAGCCACCTGTTCCCCCTAATTCCGTCCAAATCTTTGTTTTTGTTCATAATTTTTTTGTCCACGTGTATCTCACTAACACCTTCCACTAATTTGTAATTAGAAGTTTTAATCTTTGTTTGGAAATAAATTAGATTAGCTAATTTTATTTTGGGGGTGCAATCATTGAAGTATTATGTACCAAATTTTGGAAGCTTTAATATAAAAATAATAAAATTGGAAAATTTGTAAATATTAAGTGAACCTTTTGGCCATCTGCTTTTATTATGTCAACCTTTTGATTATTTCTAAACACGTCAACCTTGTAATAGCATTAACTTTTATTACATTTTTTTACCGGTGACCGGATAAGCCCTTAATAATTTCTAAAATTTGAAATAAAAAAATTAATTAACCTTTTTAAACCAAAAAAAATAAAAGTTAGCATTTAATAATGCCAACTAATTAACTCTACTCGTACTCTTATAGTCTTATCCAAACTAACGATCTCCCTTATTATCCACACTTCCTTTAATCTTCATTTTTCAACTCCATTAAATTTACATACTCCATTATTCCTTCCTCTTCCTATCAAACCCACTACCCACCATCATCGCTACTCACTCATATCCGCGCACGCTCACACTAGCAAACCCCACCATCGTTGCCTAAAAACCACCTCAGCCACCCCATGACCACCCCACCACCTCTTTTTCCATAATCCTCTTTGAATCACACTCTAATACTCTCAATTAAATTAGCGGTCTTCAATAGCATTCACTTTGGAGCAATTTTAAGTATGTGGATTGTTTATTCATATTGATTTAAGGGGATTAACATCAAATACAAGCACTATTTGTACATATAAAGAGGTTTTGTGATCAAACTAATTCTCTACCTTCAAACTAGTTTGACTATATATGGTTCTTGTAAATTTCTGACTGGCGATAGCAAATACAAGAATTAAACAATTGAAGAGTTAAAGTTCTTGGGAATGAAGAGGAAGAGTGGAGAAGATGAAGTAAGAATTGAAAGAGGAAATATGGGGAAGAAGAACAAAGAAGAAGGATGGGAAAAGGTGGAATAGAAAGTAGGATAAAAATGGGAAAATTGAAAAAATTAGCCTTTTTTTTACCTCCATGCAAGCAATTAACCTGTTTTTGCAAGTCATTTTTTATTTTAACGTAATAAAAATTAATGCTACTACAAGGTTGACGTGTTCAGAAATAATCAAAAGGTTGACGTAATAAAAGCGGACGGTCAAAAGGTTGACTTAATATTTACAAATTTTCCAATAAAATTTGGGAGTTTAATTGACATGGACTTTGATTCTTAATGTATGATTTGGTTATATTTGATGTTGAATGATGTTTATTGCTA